TCACACTTATCAGTTATGTGACTAAGCAAATCACTCCCGGTCTCCAAATCTTCCTTTCCTTGGGAAAAACTGGGGTCATAATGTAGTAGGTGATTTCATAGAGTTGTAATGAGGATTGAATAAGATAATACATTTATAAACCACCAGGTATAGCAGTGGAACACAGGGCTTTAGGTTTTCTTCTGAAGGAGGAACTGAATTCATGCCAAGGGTAAAAGGGCAGAAAAAAAATGCTGCATATTTCAAAGGCTCTTTGTCTTTTGAAAGAGTTATAGAGTTGTTAATAAAAGACAGAATTAGTCAACATTAACTAGTTCTTGCTCCCAGACCTAAAGGAAGAAACCCTCAATCTATATACAAAGTGAGATGAAGAAAACCCCTCAGGGCATTGCACATGCTGTATGGTCTTAGGTCAACCACATATGGCTTATGTAGAGATGCATTCAGGATAAAATAATATGTGAAACATAATCAGGGAACAGATAGTAACATTTGCTTGATGCACCAAATAGGTAAATGCAGAAAAGGATAGAGACAATTCAGTTCATCCACATCCTCTACATGGCATCTCTAATTTGCTAGGTGACCTGCTGCAGTCTCTATATCCTTTTGAAGTAAAGGAAAAATAGGACCTTTTGCAATTTAATCCACTAGCAGTATAATTTCAGAAATGTCCCTTTCAATCAAAGTAATTTCCATTTCATATTAGAGACAGCTCAAATAATGGATGCTTTTCATCTATTGGGCTGATGATCATGGACCTTAAAAGGGAAACTGCTATGCTTCCGCTGATTCCATTAGCTAACTACCATTTTACTCTCCTTTTGGCATCACTTCCCTAGCTTAGGTTTTCATTATCCAGCAAACTTCAGGGACTTAAACATATAAGATTTGGGTACAAACCCTACCTCAGACACTAGTTATATGACCAGGACAAATCACTTAACTGCTCTGTGCCTCAGTTTCCTCATCTGTAAAATGAGGGGATTGAACTTGATGATCTATAAGGAAGGTCCCTTCCAGCTTTAGAACTGTGATTCTATGATCCTAGAGTTTATTCTCATATCCCATGTGTTAGGCATGGTGAACTTCAGCTCCATGGGAATATGTAATTAGTCCCTAGTCATTTGCCTAGTGGGGCTATGTATGTAGCTTTGTAAATCTTAAAGTCATATATAAATAACAGCTATTATTATTAGTGAAGAAGATTTTACTATTTAGTCTTTTTCAAATAATCAAAACTATTTTTTACCAATATTTTCCCTTATTGTAATATCCAAAGGGAAAACTAAAAATGCCAATATAGCATTTTCAAATTAAAATAGTTCTTTAAAATGATCATTCTAGTAATATAATTTCCATTTCCTTTAAAGATAATCCATTTTCAAAAACAAAATATTGGAGGCTGGAGATCTTTTGGTAGATATTTTATAAAAAAAATAAAGATTTTTTTAGAATTGTCACGTTTCTGTCCTAAAAATTAATTCAAGGATAGACATCAATACAATTTTTAAAAATAGAATAACACTTAATTTTTTTGAGATTTTTCAAAGGACAGTGCACATTATAAATCTTTGGAGAAACAGGATGTCAGATGTATTCACTAAAGAAAGCAAATTTCCTTTGTAGTATAAGATAAATAACATAATTTGTAAGATTGTTGACTCTTTAAAAAACCTATCTGTCCATTTTCTGTGAAATTTCTGTCTCCTCTTGCCATTCTTTTAATAGTCCACTGGAAAAAAAGCAATACCCATTATGTTTAGCACAGAATTCTGACAGCCCAATAGATGAAAAACATCCATTATTTGAGCTGTCTCTAATATGAAATGGAAATTACTTTGATTGAAAGGGACATTTCTGAAGATACACTGCTAGTGGATTAAATAGCAAAAGGTCCTATTTTTCCTTTACTTCAAAAGGATAATTACAGTATCCTGAGTAGTATTGATGGCAACCTGGTAAGAGATTTTGTAATAATCAGGAAAATAGTGTTATTTCTTAAACAGCTCAGGAAATTTTATTTATTTTAAGATATAATTAAAATAGGATCTTAAATTTTCAAGTTCCTACAGTATTTGCATTTGTACAGTATTTGTATTCAGAATTTATCTTAAGAGACAATAAAATTCTGTAACTGATCCTGTTGGTGAGCTCATAGTTGGATGGTTTAGATGGTCCTCCTCAAAAGGAGATGGCACAAACTAAATATCGAGGAGAAAGATCAAATGTTCCATAGGAAATAATAGATAGCATTTATATAGAGTTTTCACAGAAGTGCTTTTCTTATTATTGAAAAATCACTTATAGAAAAACAACTATCTCAAAACTACTCAATCAAAAAATGGAAGTTTAAAACAAAATGGAATCAGTTATGCTAAGTCCATAAGCTTATTCCAACTAATTAAGGTACTAAAAACATTTTCACTGGAGTGAGCCTATGACTGACTATCTGTAATTTCAGCATTTATACTGTGGTTCCTAAAGATTAGGAGTCTTCCTGGGCATTTTCTCTGGCTTTCCTCCATGCCAGTAATGCTTTCCTTCATCTGCAGGGACTACTGACTGGCTGCCCTGTCTTCCTTAATGTCTCAACCAAAATCCTATCTACAGGAAGCCTTTCCCAACCCCTTTTAATTCCAGTGCTTTCCCTCTTTTAATTAGCTCCTCTTTATCCTGTAGTTTGCTTTTGCATGTTGTCTCCCTCTTTAGATTGTAAGCTCCTTGAAGGCAGGGACTGTCTTCTGCCTCTTTTTGAATCCCCAGCACTTAGCACAGTACCTGGCAGATAGTAAGTAGGTGCTTAATAATTGTTTTATTTACTGATTGATTGAGATCCCCTTCTCTTCCACACCACTAAGAAGAAGAGAGGTAACCAAACAGGTTCTTGGGAGTTCCTGTACCCTTGACCTAAGAGCAGGGGCTTTAAGAAGTATGCTCACTGTTGTAAAGTGGAGTTATCTGAGATATGGAATGGGCATATCAGCTCAGCGGAGCAAAGAATAACTCTGAATGCGCTTCTTCCTTCTTTTGTGTCATAAAAATATCTCCTTCTACAATTCTTCCCTCCCCCACCCCATTTTCTTCTCCTTCCCCCAGTGACTGTAGCCTGAGATGGAGTCAAACTAGGGTTGGAAGTGTTTGCTGTAAAATGTAACTATGCATCCTTAAGTATTTTTAATTGTATTAGAAAACACCTAAGGGGAACTGTCTGTAGCACACTAATATCTTTGAGCTATAGAATTTCTGGGGTGATATAGTGATCCCTAGGAGTATATCAAGGCCTTCCAAGCTGGAGCCTTTGAAGACAAGTGATGTGTGAAGTTATGAAAAGTCATTAGGACTTTTTCTTTTTGGTAAGTTGAGGAAGGGTTTTTTTTTTCTTCTCGTAAGTTGAGGGCAAAGATAGAGATAGGATAGATATGGGTTCACCCCTCAGACCTTAGGTATGAGACTTAGGGCAAGTGATTTTAACCTTTCATCTGTAAAGTGAGACTTTTCCCTCTCATTTGTATCAGTACGTCTGTATCTAAACTGAGCCCTTTCTCTATCATCTGTAAACTGAGCCCTCTCTCTATCACCTGTGTCCCTAGCTCTATAATTTGTAAACTGAGCCCTCTCTCTATCATCAGTGTCTGTAGCTCTATAATGTATAAAATGAGCCCTCTATCACCTGTGTCCCTAGCTCTATAATGTGTAAACTGAACCCTCTCTCTATCACCTGTATCTGTAGCTCTATAATGTGTAAACTGAGCCCTCTCTCTATCATCAGTGTCTGTAGCTCTATAAATGTATAAAATGAGCCCTCTATCACCTGTGTCCCTAGCTCTATAATGTGTAAACTGAACCCTCTCTCTATCACCTGTATCTGTAGCTCTATAATTTGTAAACTGAGCCCTCTATCACCTGTGTCCCTAGCTCTATAATGGGTAAACTGAGCCCTCTCTCTGTCACCTGTATCTGTAGCTCTATAATGGGTAAACTGAGCCCTCTGTCACCTGTATCTGTAGCTCTATAATGGATAAACTGAGCCCTCTCTCTATCACCTGTGTCCCTAGCTCTATAATGGGTAAACTGAGCCCTCTCTCTATCACCTGTATCTGTGTCTGTAAACTGAGTCCCAAAGGGCTCCTCTCTCAGGGTAGCTTTGGGGAACAAATAAAATGTTTTCTGTAAAACCCCGTGCAAAACCAAAAACTTACAAGTGCTTTAGAAGGTGAGCATTTATTGCTATAGTGAAACTGGGTTTTAGACAAAAGGTTTGAGAAATTCTAAGATGGACTGATTAGGTGTAGAGGGGGTAGGAGACTGGGCCTGCCAGAAATACAAAATAAAACTTTAATAGCAAAAACAGAAGGGAGAAAGAAAACAGTGAGCGGGAATGGCATCCAGGACAAGGATGGGAAAATGATTAAGACGCTGTTTCATTTTCTGTGTATTTGTATCCTCAGAAAATATAAGCACACCATGGGCTCCTAATAAATGCTGATTGATTGACTATTGATCGAATGGCTATAACTTTAAGAAAGCATAGCCTGAAAGGTGTGTATGGGGGAAGAAAGAGATTTCTTAGTTAGGCCAAGGCCGGGGAGATAATGACATAATCAGAAAGTTCGATGGAAGGTCTAGGGGGTGGCAAACTGGGGTCCCGACATCACCACCAGAAATACCCCGGGTGGTCCGCCGTTCCTCCCAACCTCTGCTCGGGCTCCCCCTGCTGCTGGGCATCCTCCTGCCCAATCGGCCACCGGCTTTAGCTGCTTCTTCCCCTCCCCCATCCCTTTCCAGTCAGAAACCCAAGGCCCAGCCTGGCCTCGAACCTCTGCTTCCCGACGGCTGGAACCAGGCCCCGCCCCGAGCAGGGAGAACTACGCCCTCCCCCCGGTCCCTGATAGGCCGCTTCCCCTCTCCCCAGTCCTGATTGGCTTCCTTCTCCCGCCCCTCTCCACCAGCCCCTCCCCCTCCGGGCCACCTCCCTTCTTCCCCTCCCCCCAGGCTGGCTGGGCCCGCCTTGGAACGCGCCCGGGATTGGCCCCGGCCCCGAGCCGCGTTCGGCCTTGACAGCTCTTAGCAACCCCGGGGACGCGGTTCTGAAGGCAGGCGAACCCGGTCGCCCCCTCCGAGTGCCCTGTACGATGGCCTCGAAACAAGGCAAAAAGAAAGAGGTTCACCGCATCAACTCCGCGCACGGGTTCGAGAAGTCGAAAGAGTAAGGGAACACTTCCCACCTTATCCTCCCTTGCTCACCGCCCTCCCCCCGCTCCCCCTCAACCTCGCCCCCCCCAGGGGTGGGGGTGGGGCAGCCTACAGCAGCACCCCCAATCTCATAGGAACTTGGATCTAGGGACCATTGGGCTCGACCCCCTCGCTTTTCTGAGGAGGAGACTGAGGGCCAGGGAGGCTGAGCGACTTGACCAAAGTCACACAGAGTCCGAGGCGGGGTCCCCTCACTCTAGACCCACCCTTACACCCTGCCTCTCCCGGTGCCCCCAAAACATGTTTCTTCCCCATTTATATTTCCCCTCCCCTTCCCTCCAACCTCCTTACCTCAGCAGCACCCCCCCCAGTGCCTTATAAAGGCCCAACTAACTAGCTGTATGACCTTGGGCAAGTCACTTATCCCTGTTTGCCTCAGTTTCTTCCTCCGTAAAATGAGCTGGGGAAGGAAATGGCAAACCACTCCAGTATCTCTGCCAAGAAAACCCCAAATGGGGTCGCAAAGAGTTGGATCGTTAATCTGCCGAGGCAAAGCTAGGCCAGGAGGGGTGGGGTTAGTCCGGGAGACTTGGGTTCAAAAATGGTCTCAGAGCTGCCTCGCTGTGCCACCCTGGGCAAGTCACCAGCCTTTTACTACTGCTTAACCTCCTAGCACGCCCCAGGCATCCCTTGCCCTTCTTTTCTAACTCTGAGCCCAGTCCCTTTCAAAACCACCAGCTAAAAACTGACACTTCATTGAGGTGAGTGATGTTGCAGCCCCTGCTTAATTCAATAGCAAAAATTGTTGGTTAAATGACACAGTAGATATAAAATCCCTTGGAGTGAGGTTCAATGTTCTACAAGAATATCAGATTGTTAAAACATCTTAATACTAATTAATGTTAACTTTTTTTTCCTAAGAAGACATACTAACTAGCTTATTCTTTGGAGCACTGAGGTTCAGATCTGTTTGGGGCACACGGTTTTGTATCTTCTTTCTCTCGGGAGGTGTATGGTTTAAGGTCGGGACGGTTTGATGTTTGACTTGTATTCCCAATACCTAGCACGAGTCCTTGGTACCTCGTAGGTACTCAGTAAATAAATGCTTGTTGAATAGAAGGCATTTGAGCAAGGATGGAATTTTGAGTGCTGGGAGCTGTTACATTCCTGTCTTTTTCTCATTATGATGGTGTCCCTGAAATTTAGAACACACATGAGGGATAAGTGATGCTCCTACCCCAATGAGGTAATTCTTTTTTTTTTCCCTTTTAAAAAAGGAACACATTTAAGCAAGACAAATCTATTCACTGTGTTTGGTTGTCTGAGCTCAGGATTTCTTATTGGCCATTGCATTTATTCTGACTGAAGTAGCCTTGTTTGGGTTGTTTTTATTTACATGTGTTGTTTACTTGTTTCAATCTACATCAGTTCACACAAGTTTTTTCATGTTTCTCTGGATTCAGTCTTTGAGTATCCAGAAGACTGATATGGCTGTTGTGACCCAGAAAGTTGCAGAGGGGAGGGTTTTGGTTAACATTTGGAGTTTCTTAACAATTAGAGTTTGTCTTTGACTTTCTTTGGGACAGTAGTGATGCTGTTGGGTCAAATTTTAACTTTTCTTGTATAATTCCTATTGTTTTTAAAGTAAGTTTGCACCATTTCACAACTCTGCCAATAGTATTGTGCTTGACTTCCCTGGGCCTTGCAACTTGAACTATTTCTGTTTTGATCATCTTTGTCAGTTTGATGAATGTGAGGTGAAACCTTGGGATTGTATCAATTTGCATTTCTCTCATCACCGATTTAGAGCATTTTTACATATGGTAAAACATTGAAAACTGCTTCTTCATATCATTTTTAATAGTATTTTTTTCCAATTACATGTAAAGACAATTTTTAACATTAATTTTTTAATAACATTTTGAATTCCAAATTTTCTCCTTTCCTCCCTCCCCCCCTCCTCTCCAAGACAGTAAGCAATTTGATATAGGTTATATATATGTAGTCATCTTCATATCTTTCCCCCACTTCATATTTTCCCCTACCTGTTGGAGATGATTCTTGGTCTTGTACTTTTGCGTCAGTTCCCTATATAATCTGGAAATTATACTTTTGGTAGATATATTTGATGTAAAGATTTTTTCCCACCTTACAACTTATACTCTTGTTTCAACTATTAATTTTTGCTCTTGAAAAAGCTTTTAAAACTTTATGTAATTAAAATTATCTGTTTTATCTTTTTTTTTTTTTCCAGCCAAAGACAAAGTTTATTAGTTGGGGCAGACTCTTAAGGAATCTGAGCAGTGGCTAGATTTTAAGAATCTGAGCATCTTAATGGAGACAAGGTGGACCTTATATACAGAAAGACTATGGGAGGGATCTAGGAGTGGCCAAGTAGTCTATGAGGTAATAGAATTCCTAGGACCTGGATGGTGTAGCCAAGGGAGAATGGAGCCTAGATAGGATTAAGGGGGGGGGGAGTGGCCTGGGGTCATAGGGAGGTAAGGGCTAGGCTAGGTTAAAGGTAATAGAATTGGGTGATTGGGTGTAATCACAATGAAAGGCCAGTTGATGAGATTATAATCTCAGGTGGACACTAGAGATTTGGCCACATGGGAAAGTCCTGGGTTTTTTTCTTTTTTGGGGTCCAGAACATTCCACCCTCAAACAAATGGGACCCAGATTCTTTTGGGGTAAGGGCAAAGGTCTTGGCTTCTGAAACTGCTTCCTGCTGGCAAGGGGCATAGAGCTATTCCTGCCTTGAGGGGATCTCAAAGAGGAGGTTGACTGGAACTGAGCACAGGCTGCATCCAGGCAACTCTAGGGGCACATTTGCTGTTTGCTGCCTGTAGTTTGGAAGACACCAATATGACAGAAAAGACTGCAGGGCCCAGATGTGACAGTATAAAATATCGTTAGCTCTGTTTGGATTCAGATAATTCAGTTTTCAACCATGCAGTATCAAATCCACCTCATAACCAGACTGAGGAATAGCCAGGTGGGTAACATTCCTTTCCAAAGGAACATAATGGGGAAACGGAGCCAGGAAGATCCTATCTTATACTGAGGTTAAAATTGTCCTCTCAGGTTTTCCCAATGCTGATTTCCCACCATTATCACATTTCCTCTGAATAGCTTGTGGCCTTTCTCTCAGGTGGTAGATTATTGATGGATTATGATCCATCAGGCAACTCAAAATCAAATGCTATGAGCTTTTACCTCAAACGGCAAGTTTCACTAATCACAGCTTAGGAAAAACTTTTCTAGGATTTACATCTCAAATTTAAATTTGTCCTGGTATAAAAAGCTAATCGATTTCTGTATACTTGCAAATTAAATTCTCTCAAGACAAAACCCAAACAAGCTTTTTGGCATGTTTTACACATTAAAACAATAACCAACAATAGCCAAATTATTTTAGCAGTAACCAAATTATGAAAAGTTGCTTGATGTAACTGATACAAAAAGTTCACCAATTTGAAACTTGAAACAAACCCATTACCAATCAGGTGACTTCAGTTTTATTAAATGCACTTCCAAATCACTTTACACAGAGAATCAACATCTCATCATTAACAGTTAAAACTACAATTGTAAAAGAGTGTGTTTACCCAAGTTCAGAGGATAGCTTCTTTAGGATGATGTGCTGAACCTGGGTGATGCTGCCAGGCAAAGGTTGCCCTAGGGTCCACGCTGTAGCTGCTGCCCCTTCCCCCTCTTTCCTTACCCCAGGTGGGGGGAGGGCAAAATCAAAAGTGAGGAGGAAAGGGTGAAACTCTGTTCTCCTATGAGAGGGATTAACAGATACCCTCTTGACCCAAGGGAAGGGAGTGACCAGGTTGTACAGAGTTTTGAAACATTCCTTTATGATCGATCACAAAACTTACAGAATCTGCTAAGATGTTTTTAGCTGTTCTAACTTTTCCTGTAACCTCCATGAAGGAGGATTCAGGGGTGTAGAGGGAAGGGAGTAAGTAAGCCTCAGAGAACCAAAAAGCAACTGCAGTTTTTCCCAATTCCCTAGCACTGAGAGAACTGACAGAATTGGGCATATGCTTCCAGATAGGGGGTCTACCCAGGCCCATGGCCTCGAACTGAACCAGTGGACCACGAGCCTGAGAGCATCAGGCCATGTGCGAGACAGCCTCCTAACTGTCTGCTTGAAAAGCCCCTCCAAGCCTTCCTAGGTGCTTGGAGAATGACTCCAACTGCAGAGCAAGAAAGGAGGGGTCAAGGAGGCTTATGTACGTTCCATTCACAATCTCATGGGGAAAGCTTTTGGTGTTTTTCCATTGCAAATAACACATGCTGTTCATTTTCAGTTTTCTCAAAACTTATGCCAAAAGCTTGAGTTTTGGAGGTCTGAAGGAGTTAGTTTTTCCCCCTTTCCTAATACTGATACTTTGAACATAACTGATTTCCATGGTAGTGAGTCTGTGAACTAAAACAACAACCCAGAAAATCTGTGATTCTGTGTAGGGCTGTTATCAATTTTGAAAGATAAAACTGAACATGGAAAGTCTAGTTTTGAAATGCAGAGAGTTGAAAATTAACATTTTAATAACCACTCTGACAGAGACATATGCTTATTTTGACACTTTAAAAAAGATGTGTGATTTCATCAGTATGGGTATCCCCTTCACCAGAACAGGTGACAATCCCTTCAACAGGTAGCCTTGTGCAGTAGAAGGTACACTGGACTCAAAGTCAGGAGACCTGTGTTGGAGTCCTGACTCTGCCACTAATTTACTGTGTGATCCTGGGTAAGTCACTTAATCTATCTGAGCCTCAGTTTTCTCATCTTCAAAATGAAGGACTGAACTTAATCCTTACTATCCCTCTTTTCCTACTTTTGTCAAATATTAAAAAAAAAACACTGGCTCCTGTATTTCACCTAATAAGCTATGAATCATCACATACAAAAAAATCACCACTTAGTAGCCCACTTTCCATTGATGAGACTCTCCATTTTTAGCTGTGACTTGGATAACAGCTACACAGACTTTCATTGTT